AGAAATTAACAGTTCTTCCTTTGTCTTCCCTATTTAATTCCAGACTTCATAGTTCTTTCTAATCAAACTTTACTAAAAGGCAATTAATTACCTGACTGTCCTCTGAGAACGAGCATACTTCAAAGCTGGAATGAATCTACCTGACAACTTCTGAAGTCTAATTTATCTGCTTTTGATAACAAGAGGAAATAATGTAAATAAAAGACAAAACAGTATACTATGAGAGAGAAATCTCGACATACCTGACTATAAAGACTAATATTTCTAAAGAATTTCTGTATAAAGAATGCACAAAATTAATAAGAAAGCCAGTGAAGACCCCAATAATAAGGAGCAGAGGTTAATAAAGTCTTTTGAAAGCAATACTCTGGGAAATGTTCAGTCTTACTAATAATCAAAGAGATGCAAATTAAATCCATGAGATAATAATTTCTCCTTTCAAATTAACAGATAAGAAAGTGGATACCTTTGTTCTTGGCTGGTGGATATCAGGTGTTGGTTAGCATGTTTGGGAAAGCCTTAAAATTCTCAGACTCTAGTAATTCTAATTCTGGGAATTTGTTTTAAGACAGTAAATTGTGGGTAGTAGTTCGGAACGATCCAAGATGGCCGACTAGCAGCAGCTCAGGATTGCAGCTCCCAGTGAAGGTGCAGGGAATGAGTGGACACCAGATTTCCAGATGAATTTTTGTTGCCTACGGACCAGGAGATTCCTAGTGGAAGAGCCTCATGGGTCACCAGTGCCACTCTGTTGACTGGCGCGGCTGTTTTGCCGGCGTCCCAGCGCAGCGGTTCTCAGTGCGGAGTATGAGGGACTGGGTGCCCTTTTAGTTGGCGTTTGGAGCTCCGGGAAGGCAGAGTCGCCCATTCAGCTGATTGAAAAGAGGACTGAAGAAGAGTGCCATGAATCTCAGCATTGCTGTTTCAGCCGGCGTGGTCGCCACACGGGAAATTGCATAGATCCCGGTGCCTTTTTGGTGGGCGACTTGGGCACCTGGGAGAGAATCCACTGTTCAATTAGGGAAAAAAAAAGGGTGGGGGCTCTGAGGCAGGGAGCCAGGTGATCGGGTTCGGCTGGTCCCACCCCCATAAAAAAACAGCAATAGGAAACCCTGATGGTTGAGAGTTTCACAGCAAGCACAGCTCAACCCGGGAAGGTGCAGCTAGTGGGGGAGGGGCGTCTGCTGAAGGAAAACAAAGAAACAGAAATAACGTCACCACCACCAAGCTGGACGTCCACTCAGAGGCCCAATCTGAAAGTCAGCAATTACAAAGATCACATGTGGATAAATCCACAAAGATGGGAAGAAAGCAGCGCAAAAAGGCTTAAAACATCTGAAATCAGACTGCCTCTCCTTCTTCAGGGGATTGCACCTCCTCATCAGCAAGGGAACGAGGCCTGATGGAGAATGAGTGTGATGAATTGTCAGAATCAGGCTTCAGAAGATGGATAATAAGAAACTTCTGTGAGCTAAAAGAACATATTATAACCCAATGCAAAGAAACTAAGAACCTTGAAAAAAGATTTGATGAAATGCTAATGAGAATAGATGATTTAGAGAGGAATATAAGTGAATTAATGGAGCTGAAAAACAATACAAGAACTTTGTGAAGTATGTGCAAGTTTTAACAGTTGAGTTGATCAAGCAGAAGAAAGGATATCAGAGGTCGAAGACCAACTCAATGAAATAAAATGAGAAGACAAGATTAAAGAAAAAAGGATAAAAAGGAATGAGCAATGTCTCCAAGAAATATGGGACTATGTGAAAAGACCTAATCTACGTTTGATAGGTGTACCTGAATGTGACAAAGAGAATGAATCCAAGCTGGAAAATACTCTTCAGGATATTATCCAGGAAAACTTCCCCAACCTAGCAAGGCAGGCTAATATTCAAGTTCAGGTAATACAGAGAACACCACAAAGATATTCCCCAAGAAGAGCAACCCCAAGGCACATAATCATCAGATTTACCAGGCTTGAAATGAAGGAGAAAATGCTAAGGGCAGCCAGAGAGAAAGGTCAGGTTACCCACAAAGGGAAGCCCATCAGACTCACAGCAGATCTCTCAGCAGAAACCCTATAAGCCAGAAGAGAGTGGGAGCCAATATTCAACATTCTCAAAGAAAAGAGCTTTCAACCCAGAATTTCATATCCAGCCAAAGTAAGTTTCATAAGTGAAGGAAAAATAAAATCCTTTGTGAACAAGCAAGTACTCAGAGATTTCATCACCACCAGGCCTGCTTTACAAGAGCTTCTGAAAGAAGCACTACATGTAGAAAGGAACAACCAGTATCAGCCATTCCAAAAATATACCAAAAGGTAAAGAGCATCAACATAATAAAGAATGTACATCAACTAATGGGCAAAACAGCCAGCTGGCATCAAATGGCAATATTAAACTCACATATATTATTATCGATCCTAAATTTAAATCGACTAAATGCCCCAATCAAAAGACACAGATAAACAAATTGTATAAAAAACCAAAACCCATCGGTATGTTGCATCCAGACCCATCTCACATGCAGGGATACACAAAGACTCTAAACAAAGGGATGGAGGAAGATTTACCAACCAAATGGAGAGCAAAAATAAAAATAAAAAGCAGGAGTTGCAATTCTCGCCTCTGATAAAATCGACTTTAAAACAACAAAGATCAAAAGAGGCAAAGAAGGACATTACATAATGGTAAAAGGATCAATGCAACAAGAAGAGCTAATGATCCTAAATATATACGTACTCAATACAGGAGCACCCAGATACATAAGGCAAGTTCTTTGACTTATAAAGAGACTTAGACTCCCACACAATAATAGTGGGAGACTTTAACATCACATTGTCAATATTAGACAGATCAATGAGACAGAAAATTAACAAGAATATCCAGGACTTGAACTCAGACCCAGAACAAGTGAATTTAATAAACATTTATAGAACTCTCCACCCCAAATCCACAAAACATACGTTCTTATCAGTACCACATCACACCTATTCTAAAAGTGACTACATAATTGGAAGTAAATCACTCCTCAGTAACTGCATAGCATTTCACAGGTTTAAATGAAATATTGGTTGGCCGATTGTTTGTTATTTTCCTCCCTTATTCCTTCCTGTCTCCACTGTTAAGCACAATTATTGGCATAAAAGAGATTTTCAATACCCATTTTAAGACTACATTCTAGCATGGGCAACAAATCAAGACTCCTGTTCTCTCTCTCCCTTTCTCTTCTTCTTTCTTTCTCTCTTTTGTTGTTTCTTTTCTTTCTTTGTTTCTCTCTTTCTTTCTTGTTCTTTTTTTTTTATTAAAAAAAAAAAAAGACAGTGAATTGTGTTGTGGTGAATCTCCATTTTGTAATTATCTACATTGATGCACTGTTTGCAGTGGCAAAAATAAATTTCTGTAAATATTAAAGCTATGGTCCAATTAAGACATTGAAGAATTAGTGCTTACATGTGAAGATCCATTAGAAAAAAATTAAATAGTATGTTATATAATAGAGTGAAAATGTATGTGCAGATTATATGTAAAGTATGATTTTACCTGTATTCTAAAAATATGTTTGGAAAAAGATTAAGATAATGTACCAAAGTATTAATGGAGATCACTTAAGGGGGTAATGTGTTAGATGTTCTTTTTTTCTTATCTATTTTCAAAGTTCTCAGTTGTGAATATTTATTATTTTAATCATGAGGAAAAATAAAACTTTTATTTAAATAATGAACACAGTGATACTATAGAATAGTATTAAGTGATTAAGTTGTATATACAAGTGTTTTTAAGGTAAGGGATTATACTACTTAATTTGCTGTGTTTACCTTTTATCACATTATCAACAAGTATTTATTCAATTCTTTGATGGTTTTGTGGAATAGAAAAGGGCTTTAGACCTGGGCAGGAATCTAGGTTTATCACCTTGTATGTTAGGCTTGCTATTAGGTGTTAGTTTCTTGTGCTATAAATGGATGTTATAAACGTACTGCAAAGAGTTGGTAGAGATTAAATGAAAAAAATCTTTGGTCAATGAATATTTGTTGCATTATTCTGTTTTTGATATGAATTGTATATCTCTCCAGATAGGCATAATGGATCTCTATTTGCTGATGTAGGTGATATCTAGCATGTTAGCAGTTTCATCCACTGAAGCTTTTCTGTACATAGAAATAAATGGACGCAATGAAATCGACTTCATTTGTATAATCGGATGTTTGGAAGAGAGTGAATTATATGTATTTGAACCAGAATAGAAAAACCCCATCCCTCTGAGGCAGTTAAAACCATAATCTCCCTATCCAGTAATCTTGTTTTGATGCGAAAAAGATTATCTGAGAACTATCATTTATGGAAAATGTTGACATTGTATTATGCATTCCTGTCAGAACAGGATTTGTTGTTACAGGTTGAACTCCTTGTTCTCCTCTTCCCCTCTTCTCAATACTGTGCTTGACTAGTCTTACAAAAAAGAAAAAGATTGTCATATTTAAAATAGTTATTTATGTTTCAAATACTATCTTTTAAAAGCCAAAAGCACATTAGAGGTCACACAGAGAAGTTATATTTTTCCCTGTGCCAAGATAGTAATTGAGGCCAAGTACCAATATAAGCTAGAAAAGGAATTTATTACCCAGAATCATCATTATTCTTCATTTTTAGAGTTATTCTGGCAATAAGAAAAAGAATTTTCCATCAACTAGGAAATCGTCATCAAAAACCTTTTTAGGAGGGGTGAGGTGGCTCAAGCCTATAATCCCAGCACTTTGGGAGGCTGAGATGGGCAGATCACTTGAGGCCAGATGTTTGAGACCAGCCTGGCCAACGTGGCAAAACACCATCTCTACTAAAAGTACAAAAAATTAGCCATGCATGGTGGCAGGAGCCTGTAATCTCAGCTATTCAGGAGGCTGAGGCAGGAAAATTGCTTGAATCTGGGAGGCAGAGGTTGCAGTGAGGTGAGATTGCTCGCTCTATTGCACTCCTGCCTAGGCAACAAGAGTGAAACTCCATCTCAAAAAAAAAAAAAAAAAAAAAAAAAAAACAAACAAACAGAAAAACCAAAAATGCTTTGTAGTTGTTTTCTAGCAACTTAAACATGGTATTTTCTGTGAGAAGATTTAACATTCAACTAGAGTATCCTGTTAAAATGATAATAGTAAAAGGATAAACTAAAAAGTAAAGGTATGTGTGTTTGAATTAATTTTGACTATGCATTTTCTCTCAAGTATACAACTGAAGCGTTATATAATTGTAGATAAATTGCTTCAGTCATTTATGTATACTACCTTAGGGTGACAGTATTATTAGAATTTTTGCTTTCCTATTAAAAGCTCACCTTTATTTAAGTGGACATGTATGATGAAGTTTACCATATGGTTTGTTTTTTGTAACGAAATATAGCAGTATTTTCATTTTATAGGAAGAGACTAAATACATTTCTACTAGGGCATAATTACTGAAGGTGACATGCTTTGTAACAGTTCTACTTTGTATTGCTATAAGAGATTATGTTTTATTTTTTAAAGAATCTCTAAGAAACGAACAATTTCTAGATTTTATGAGAAACAAGGCACAGTTCTCCAAATTCTGCTGTATAATCCCTTCCTTTAAATCCCTAAAAGATTGAATTTATAAATGGAAGATGGCATATCACATGGGGACTCCTTATAAAGAACAAAATTTGCAAAATCCCGTTATTCATTTTTATGGTTATCCCAAGAATATTGATTTGTCAAAGATTAAGAACATATGATTTTGTACCTTTATGAAGGGTCCAGCTCTGCAGGGTCTAGTGGGTGTTCTTTTGTGTTCGAAGATGATAGATCACAGGAAAGAAAGACACAAGACTCAGAGATAAGAGAAAAATTCAGCTGGGCCCAGGGAACCACTACTACCAAGGTGCGGAGTCCAGTAGTGGCCCCGAATGCCTGGATACGCTGATGTTTATTGTATACAAGGCAGAGGGGCAAGGCCAGGAGAGTGACTCATCTGACATGATTGATAGGGGTCAAGCAAATCACATACTTCCAATACAGACGTGTCATGTGGGTATAGCACAGGGCCCCCTCCCTATCAGGTAGCCACTGAATGGAGGGGAGGCACATACGTCAGTATCTTTATATGCACTTATCAGAAAGATCAAAGACTTTTGGGATTCCTCTATTCTCATGACTTCTAAGAACTTAATAAGAGCATCTGGTGGGAAAGTGGAATATGAAAGTGGACAAGGATAGTGACCATTGGAGCACAGCACCACGGAGAGGTGTTTAAGACCCTGGATGTCTGTGGGCCAGCCTGGCTAATGGCAGGCTTTCCTCAAGAGCCAGACAGAGCAGAGTTTTCTGTGAACTGCCCCAGTGAAAGGGAAACTCCCCTTCATGGCCTGCTTCATGGAAATAACGGGTGCCTTCCCAGGCACTGGCGCTACTGCAAGGCCTGCCTGCTAAGTAACGGGCACCTTCCCAGGCGCTGGCATTACTACAATGCTTTTATGTTCACCTCCAGATCATTTATCACGGTGTCCCTTCAGTTCCTAATTATATTTCACCCGATTATGTCTATACTATAAGACTAAAGATGTTCCTAGACTGTAATATTCAAGCAATGACTAATAATAGAGAATAGTGATATAATAAGATTGATTATAGAATTGACTATGTGATTGTATCTAAATCTATTTGGTGTCATTACTATAACTAAGTAATCAGTGAATATTTCATTGCTATGACTAAGTAATCAGAAAATATATTTGGTATTGCTATATCTAAGTAATTCGTCAATATATCATTGCTATAACTAAGTAATGAGTTATTTATCATGCTGCGACAGACTCTGCCTTCAGTCTCTTGCCTTGGCACCTGGGCAACTTTCTTCCCACACGTTTATATATTCAGATTATATGTAAGAGAGATTTACAGGAATATCATATAGTGGCTAAGTGCATAGGCTTTGGAAACAGATTCGTGAATTCAGATTCTAATATCACAATTTGCTAGCTGCATGATTTTGAGCACTTTAGCTTCATTTCAGGGGATAATAATGGTACCTACATTCCAGGGTTGTCATGTTGTTTAAATGATATAAAAAGCTTAGGGGCAGTGTGGCGGCTCCTTCCTGTAATCCCAGCTACTTGGGAAGCTGAGGCAGAAGGATCATTTGAGTCCAGGAGTTTGAGGCTGCAGTGAGCTATGATTGAGTCACTTTGTTCCAGCTCTGGGAAACAGAGTGAAACCCTTTCTCTTAAAAAAAAAAAAAGGGGGGGGGTGCTTATAACTATGCCTTGTGTATTTTCAGTGATTAAATGCTTATTCATATTTGACTTTTGTTGTAATGGGTATTTACTGTTGTAGGAGTCTGTTGCTAAAGAATGTCAGGCCGGGCGCGGTGGCTCAAGCCTGTAATTCCAGCACTTTGAGAGGCCGAGGCGGGTGGATCACGAGGTCAAGAGATCGAGACCATCCTGGTCAACATGGTGAAACCCCGTCTCTACTAAAAATACAAAAAATTAGCTGGGCATGGTGGCGCGTGCCTGTAATCCCAGCTACTCAGGAGGCTGAGGCGGAGAATTGTCTGAACCCAGGAGGCGGAGGTTGCGGTGAGCCGAGATCGCGCCATTGCACTCCAGCCTGGGTAACATGAGTG